GGGGCTGGGGTTCGGGATTTTTTTGTGATCATTCAGGTCTAGTCCTTTTCAAGTATAGGCTGTAATTGTTTGATTATCCTTCTTGTCAGTTCAAGTGTGGGACAGTAACGGACAACTATGGTGTGTGGTCAGTTGGTTCTTTTTATTTTTGGCTCGGTGCAGACATTCAAAAAGCCTGAGGTAGAATCAGTCTAAGTTGCACAGTTTTCTGCAAGTGGTGTAGTTTATATCGGTAGTGAAGAGAACGCATGTTTAACTGGGAGGTGCGGGGGGAAGGGATCAAATATTAGACTGGGTTTCACAATTGTTAAACCAGTCCATGTGCTGAACTTCTGTTCTGTTATGGATATAAACTGGTTTTGTGTGCCGAGCTTCTGTTGTGGAATGCAGGTATAGTGCAGGCTTGGTGATGCAGTTTTCTAAAAAATACTCCTCCAAGTGGCTCATGAAGAGGATGGTATATTGCAAAGCCATCATTGTGCCCATTGTTTGGAGGAAGTGCTGGTTCTTGAAAGTGAAGTCATTGTGGATGAGGATGAAATGGATGGTTTATGCAATATGTCACTTCAAATATGTATATAGCCCATGTTCTTGTAGTTATTTCAGGCAGGCATATGTGTCTTCATGGTGTGACGTTTTAGTGTATGGGTTGATGACATCCATAGTTGCAAGTATGACCTTCTTGGGGAGGTGGTTGATATTCTGGATCTTGCTAAGTTATCATTTGTGTCTTGTAAAAACTTGCTCTTTGGGTGACAGGTGGTTTTCAGAATGGTTTCTTTGAATCCTGATAGCTCTTCAGGGAAGGTACGACAGTTGGATATGATGGGTTTGCCAAGGTAACCTTGTTTGTGAACTCTGAGGAGCATATAAAATGTCCTCAGAATGGGATAGTGTGGTATTAGTGTGAGCAGGAGTATCAGTTGGTACTAGTATAAGTTTACCTCTGTATGGTTTTGTAGAGGTACAAGTATAGCAAAACCATTGCTCTTTCAAACCTGTTTCATTCAAGGTTAACATTATAGTGATTAACTCACTTGCATCCCAACAGTAGCATGCAGAGGTAGAAGTTAGAGCGTAACCACCAATTTAGGTTCCCAGGTGGTAACTCTCCTCTCCTCTTTTAAAACAGTTAAAGGTTATTTTTTTCCATAGCCAAAGGCATATTTCAGTGGGCTGGAGAAATAGGAAGAAACCACCTCTTCCACCCATTATATATATCCCACCTAGGCTATGTGGTGTTCTATCCTGGAGGTTCAGGCAGGGGCTCTCATGCACAGCCTTAGCATTACTATATTGTTGGTGATCTGCAGAATGGACACAAGTACATGAAATGTTACAGATGTTGAATCTCTCCCATCACCATGAAAAAATTGCCATGTCCAATCACAGCCCTGCCCAATGGACATGAGAAAGAGGGTATTAGGGTGGCTGGTTGGGAAGGAGGGAATGGTAAGCGAAACGGGAGACTTTTCCCTATCTCTTTCTGCAGAGGAAGCCTCGGACTTTGCTGAATCCAGCACCCACTTCCCCAACCACCAGCACCCCAGAACCGGACACAAGCACTGTGCCCCAGGATGCTGCCACAATCCCCAGCTCTGCTATGCAGGCCCCCACAGGTAAAGGCTTTGGGTCACCCGCTTTCAGAGATAATATAATTAATGCATTTGTGGAGGAAACCAAAAAAAAAGACAGCTAACAGACCCAGCCAGATTTCCAGACAAGGTGGCAAGCGTTGTAAATACAAAACAGGAGTGACCTAAAGTAGGAGATAACTAGACAAGAAAAAGAACCAGAGGTTCCCAATCCCTTTTGTCTCATCTCAGCTCCCCGGTATGGCTATATTTATTGAGCTGCACCTTTTTCAAGCACACAAGCAGGCAGGAGGGAGGACTCTCAGTTGTTTGATAGCTATTAATAGACCTGTCATCCATGAATTTGTCTAGTTTATTTTTTTAACCTGGTTGTATTATCTGTCCCTGCACCCTTCTGTGGCAGTGAGTTCCACAAATTAACTATCTGCTGCATAAAATGTGCTTTCTAATATTAAACCTTTCTCTGACTAATTTCAGGGGGTGTTCCCTAGTTTTAATATTCTGGGACTTAGTGAATACCAGTTCCCTGTTCACTTTCTTCTGCACCCTTCATAATGCTATAGATTTCTATCATATCTCCCCTCACCTCAACCTTCTCCTTTCCAAACTGAAAATGCTTAGCATGTTTAGTCTCTCCTGATATGGCAGCTGTTTCATACCCCTGATCATCTTGGTGGCCCTTCTGGATACCTTTTCTAATTCTACTACATCCCTTTTGAGATGTAGAGTCCAGAGCTGCACACAGTATTCAAGATGTAGGTGCACTACAGATTTGTATAGTGACATGATGATGTTTTCCATTTTGTTTTCAATTCGTAGTGATGCCCAATATTTTGTCTTTTTTTTTTGGTTGCTGCTACACACTGGGGTTATATTCTTTGTTTAAAGAACTATCTACAGTGACTCCAAGATGTCTCGCTTAATTTAGAACCCAACATTGGGTATATATAGTTGAGCTTATTTTTTCTCGAGTGCATTACCCTGCACTTGTCAACAGTGACATTCATCTGCAATTTTTTGCCCACTCACTCTGGGTGAGATCTTTCTGCAGCTGTTCTCCATCAGCTTGGGATTTAACTACAGGAATAATTTAATATCATCTGCAAACTTGGAGATTTCACTGTGAACTCCCATTTCCAGGTCATTGATGAAAATGTTGGACAAAACTGGGCCTGCAGGACCCACTTTTGACCTTCCTCCTTCCTGAAATGTGACATCTCCTTTTAGCCCACCTTTTACTTCCTTTATGTTTAACCTGTTCTTAATCCATGAAAAAACCTTTCCTCCAGTCCCATGACAACTCCATTTTTTTAAAACCATGGATGCGGGACCTTGTTGAAAGTTCTCTGAAAGTCCAGACACATTGTCCACTAGGCCCTGCCTCCCCCTTGTCCACATGCCTGTTAACACCCTCAAAGAACTCAAGCAGATTGGCAAGGCAGGATTTCCCTTTACAAAAGCATGCATACCCTTCCCCAGCAGATCATGTTTGTCCATGTGACTGCTGATTTTATTCTGTTTATAGATTCTACCAACTTGCCAGGAATAAAATTGAGACCCAATAGTCTGTAGTTTCTAGGGTTGCCTCTGGAGCCTTTATGAAGATAGGTGTTATGTTGGCAACTTGCTAGTCATCTGGCACAGAGGCTGTTTGTAACAATAGGCTACATACTATTGCCATAGTTCTGCAATTTCACATTTGAATTTCTTCAGAAGAATTGGGTGAATGCCATCTGGTCTTGGTAACTTATTAGTGTTTAATTTATTGATTTATTTTAAAAATTGTATCCCAGGGGTCATAAAGTCATACATTGTAAGGCAGGAAGGGACCTTGGAAAATCATTAGGTCCAGCCCGCTGCACCAGCAAGGTGACTGTCCAGTCTTCTCTTGAAGATTTCCAGGGTAGGCAATTGCACCACCCCTGGAGGGAGCTTTTTTCACAGTCTGTACACCCTAACTGTGAAGAAATATTTCCTGTATTGAGCCTGAAACGGTCTTCCAGGAGTTTGTGGCCATTACTACTGGTTTTCTCCAAGGGCACCCTGGTGAGCAGTTGTTCACCGAGCCCCTGATGTACTCCCCTGACATAGCAGTAAGCTGCTACCAAGTCCCTTCTCAGCCTTCTCTTTTTCAGGCTGAAGAGTCCCATGTCCCTCAGCCTTTCCTTGTATGGCTTGCCATGCAAGCCTCTTATCATACACGTGGCCCTTCTCTGGACTCTCTCAAGTTTTACCATGTCCTTGTTAAAGTCCGGCACCCAGAACTGGATGCAGTATTCCAGTTGGAGTCTCACCAGTGCCAAGTAGAGCAAAAGAATCAGTTGCTTGGTCTTGTTGGAGATGCATGCCACAGTATTATATGCAACAGAGTCACAGTGCCAGCTCATATTCATGTTGTGGTCTATTATTAACCCTAGGTCTCTTTCATTCGTAGTGCTGGTCAGGTTGATGTTGTGAAGCCTGTAGTTGTGCAGGGATTGTTCGTCCCCAGGTGGAGCACTTAGCATTTCTTGATGTTGAACTTCATCTGGTTCTGACTTGCCCAACTTGCTAGCCTGTCTAGATCCATTTGTATCTTTAGCCTAAGCGTGACTATGCTTCCCCATAACTTGGTGTCATCTGCAAACTTGGCCAATGAGCTCTTCACCTCCTCATCCAAATCATTGATACAGATATTGAAAAGTACAGGACCAAACACCTACCTATGCAGGACACCGCTGCCCACTTCTAGCCAGGATGACACATCTGTTCATTAGGACTCTTTGGGTCCTGCCCCGCAGCCAGCTTCAGACGCATCTAACCGTCTCACAGTTAAGCCCGCTATCTTCCAATTTTCTCGCGGGAACATCATGGGATATCAGATAAAAGACTTTTTGGAAGTTAAGGTATAGAATATCCACCACTTCTGTCTTATACAAGCGGCTAGTTACCTGATCGTAAAAGCAGATGAGGTTGGTAAGACAAGACCTGCCCTTGATGAAGCCATGCTGGCTGTCATTCAGAATCCTATCTTCTGCAAGCCTATCGCACATAGCTTCCTTAATTAATTTTTCCAGGATTTTCCCTGGGATAGAAGTTAGGCTAATTGGCCTGTAGTTACCCAGATCCTCCCTCCTCCGCTTCTTGAAGATGGGCACAACATTGGCTCTCTTCCCATCCTCAGGGACCTCTCTGGAGCACCACAAGTTTTGGAACAGTTTCGCCAGGGGCTCTGCGATGATGCTGGCCAGCTCCTTCAGCACCCTCGGATGGAGTTCATCTGGTCCTGCGGAATTATATATGTCTAATTGTTTTAATTGATCACACACCAGTTCTACGGCTACAGTAGGAAGGCAGCCATTTCTGCCCTGCTCATTCTGTACCCTATCCAACATGACTTTCCCCTTGGCCCGGTGAAATACTGAGGCAAAGTAGTCATTCAGGAGTTCAGTTTTCTCGAGTGTCAGTAACCAGCTGTCCCAAGTTGTTGAGCAGTCGCCGCCTTAGCCTTTTTAATTTGTTCCCTACAAGTGCAGGCCATTGTTGTATAGTCCTCCTTGGGGACTGTCCCCACCACCTTCCATTGTTTGTAAGCCTCTTTCTTCTTTCTAAGGAGGACTGTGATTTCCCTGTTTAGCCAGAAGGGCTTCCTAGCCCTTCTGCTACCTTTTCTCCGCATGGGAATGGACTTCCTTTGTGCTTCAAGGATCATGTCCTTAAGGAGCGACCACTCTTCATGAATACCTTTTGCCTTCGGTCCCTGGTCCCACAGCATTTGCCCTACTAGTGACCTGAGCTTGTTGAAATTTGCATTTTTGAAGTTCAAGACTTCAGCCCTTTTTGTTGATTTGTCTGCCTTGCAGTGGACAGTGAACTTGATGGTTTCATGGTCACTGTCACCCAGGCTACCCTCTGTTTTTAACTCGGCCACCAAGTGGTCTCCTTTGGCTAGGACCAAGTCTAGGAGAGCATTGCTTCTGGCTGGCCCATGCACCTCTTGAGCCATGAAGAGCTCTTCAATGCAGGTCAGGAAGGAACGCGACCAGTCCAACTTGGCCAAGCATTCCTCCTAGGAGATGTCCGGATAATTGAAGTTGCCCATGATGACAATATCCTGTGCACGCACAGCCTCTGTCAGTTCTCAGGCAAACTCTAGATCGAGTTCGTCCCCTTGATTTGGTGGCCTGTAGTACATGCCTACAGTTGGATCTCTCTCTCCACTTCCCCCCCCACAGCAGCTTGACCTAGAGGGTTTCAAGCCGCTCTTTTTTGGAGCTGATGTCAGCCTCCAGGGAGTTGTATTGCTCCTTCACATAGAAAGCTACACCTCCACCTTTCTTCCCAACCTGGTCCCTTCTATGCAAGGTGTAGCCCTCCATGGCTACACTCCAATCATGTGAGGAGTCCCACCAGTTGTCTGTAATCCCTACTAAATCATGCTGCCCACCGGAGAGCAGGAGGGCTATCTCCTCCTGCTTGTTCCTCACTCTACTCGTATTGGTGTATGGGCACCTGAGTCTGAGTCCTCCTGTTGAGACCCTCGGCTTCCTGTCATGCTGAGGGAGGGCAGTTCCCTCAGTTCTCTCAGGAGTGGTTTTCGTAGTGTCCCCATCTACAGAGCTTTCTTGCATGTTGGTCCCCAGGCAAGCTCCAGAAGTCCTCTGTCCCTGAGGAAGCTGAAGCCCTCTTGGTGACACCACTGTTGGAGTTGTTGGTTGACGCCCTCGATGCAGCCTTCCCTCCTCAGACCATGGCCTGCAACTGGGAGTACAGAAGAAATGACAACCTGGGTCCGTGACCTCTTGAGCCCAGCCCCCAGAGCCCTCTAGTTGCTCATGATCCAGTCTGGATTACTTCTGGCCGTATCATTTGCTCCCACGTGGATGAGGAGCATGGGGTAGTAATCACAGGGCTGGACTAGCCTGGGGATCCTTGCTGCAACATCTCTGATGTGGGCCACAGAGAACAGCAGACCTCCCGGGCTAGGGGGTCCAGACAGCAGAGGGGACCCTCGGTGTCCCGCAGGAGGGAGTCCCCTACCACCACCTTGCACCTCCTCTTGGGGATGGCAGCATGCTGCTTACCTTCCTCCTCCTCCGGTGTTGCCATTGGAGCCTCCACCTGCGTGGGGTGGGGAGCATGTGGAGGCTCCAATGGTGACACTCCAGTGGGGTTGACAACCTCCCTGGCATGCATTACCAAAGCATGGCATGTGAGGCCATTTTGCTCAGCATGCCACAGCCAGGCCAGGC